CCCCCCACTCCTGCCAGCCGCTTGCTCATTGTTCCCTCCTTTCTCCAGCTCCACCATCTTTCTTCTCTTCCCTTCATTCCCTCTCCCCACTCTTCATCATCTCTTCATCAGATATCTTTTCAGTCTGGCCAAGTGAACCTTTATCAATATTCATACTCAGGCAAAACCTCCTCACATCACACCCAGGGGTATATTCCAGACGAACATTATGTACAAGAATATTCTCACCACATTGTCACGCCAAGGAAAGTAGGAAACAACTTGCATGTCAAGAAAAATGAGGCCAGTGGCTCAACGTGCCTGCCACCAGTGCAGTGCCGTTATCCCAGCAGCACCGCTCTACCAGTGGCACTGAGGCCTTGTTTACATCTTCATGTGAACAGCACACAGAAAAACACTTATAAGACAATCGAGGAAATCTGAACATTGACAGATATTAAGAAATTATTATGCTTTTTAGGTGCAATAATGACACTGATATAATATCTAAAGGTAGTCCTGTCTTTTAGAGACACAAACTGAAGTATGTGCAGATTAAATTATATGTGTTTGGGATTTGCCTAAAAATAACCCCGGGGAGACAATGCTAGTGGGCAGGAGTAGAGCTGGAATGAGATCAGCTTTGAGTTGATAACTGTTGAAGGTGAATGATGGGTACATGGAGGTACGTTATGCTCTCTCTACTTTTGTTTGCTTGAAACTTTCCATGATACTCAGTATTAAAGGAAACACATCAAAATGTTATCTGTTATAAAATAAGGTGGATTTAGAATTAATGGAATAGACATATGAAGGCCCAAAGAGCTGGAAAACAGAACAAGATTCCCGTGTTCAAGTCCTAACGTGGCCAAAGGGGCAGCAGAAGCAGCCTGACCTCGGTGCTCCTTGTGGGCCGGTGGACAGTGCTCCGCTCCAGCTCCTTGCCGGCCTGCACCGGCACCCAGGGGCTGGCGCCGCAAGGAGTCCACTACTCTCCGCAACTCTCTCCTTATTCTCCCAAGTATGAGCTCACAATTGCAAGTGTTGCATGTTACTGTCATAAAGTTTTTAAAAATAAAAGCCCTTAAAAACAACATCATTAGTGGTTATGTGATAATGATCGTGAACTTCCTTCCAAAGAGAAGAGGAACAAGCTGCCCTAACATTATACACATGTGCTCCTGGCTGGGGACAGATTTCCCCACATTAGCAGCACACAAACTGACATACAGGATCTCAAGTGAGTAGATAGCAGTGGCGACAACGTGCCCTGGAAAGCTGCTGGCTGGCCCAGGACGTGGCTCCAGTGAGGCATGTAGGATGACTGTGACTACAGTTGTTCCATGAAACTCAGGTGTGTGGGAGGAAAAGGCATATGAACACATAAATGCACAGTCTAATATTTGCAGAAGTGAAAGATTTTTAAAAATTAAATACTGTTAGACATGTGTGGCTATTTTATCTACATCTCTAAAAGCTGATATATCCAAATGGGCCGAAACACAGCTTTGGATTTCCTCCTTGGGGGTGGACTCTCTGAGGGAGGGACCTGGTCAGGCCATACAGACATTTACCTGAGGAACAGCCCTTCCAGGTGGTTACGGGGCTTCAGGTGTGAACAGTCCAGGATGCAAGGCAGGGGGTGACGCCTGGGTAGAAATACGGTCTCTCCTGGATGTACTGATGGGATGACCTGCAGGGCCATGGAGAACCTCTCCACCAGCTTCCTGGCAAAGCAAGGGGTGGGAGAGCCGGTCAGCAGGTGCACCTGGTCTGCACCTGGGGCTTGGGGAGTGGGGGGAGGGAAGATAGGGGGCAGAGAGGGGGAACTGAACCAGGGAGGACAGCGCCACCTGCTGATGGAGGAAGAACCCTTGAGATGCAGACTAATGAGCCCTACCCTTTCCACTCTTTTACACTTGATCCCTCAGAAGGGCCTCAGTCCAGGAGCTAGAGGTCCTGGTGACAACCCCAGCCCTAAACCATTGGCTCTTTTCAGTTCCAACATTCACTGAGAGCCCACCATGTGCAGGTGCCAGGTGCTGGAGGATGAAGCAGCTGTGAGCTGCCCTTGTACTCCCCGTACCCTCATCAGGTGAACACGCCTCAGAGCCCAGTCATGGGTCAGCCAGGGTCAAGGAGGACATCCTCGCCAGGAAGGACCCAGGCTCTTCCTCTGGGCAGAGGGCCTCAAGCTCCACGATCAGGAGGACTCCTTGGGAAGCTGCTAAAATGCAGATGCCCAGGCCCCACCTGCCCTGTGAGTCTGACTGAGTAGATCAGAGCTGGGCCCACGGACAGCGGAGGAACAGGGAGAAGAGGGAATACAATCCAACTATGTCGGGAGGGTGCACAAAGTCAGGGCTAGTCACCCCATGAAGAGGGAATGGGGAAAGGGAGGCAGTGGGATGACTCCTGGTAATGAGGTGACTGCACCACAAAGGTGGGTGGAAGACCAAGCTGCAGAACGGTGTGTGTGCATGTGCACACACACGCGCATGTGCATGTGTTAGGTATACACACAGACTTTCATAAACACACGAAGTACCCCCCCCTCCCGACACATACAACTATGATCTATGGTCAGCCCTGGGCAATAGGATTTGGGGAAGCAGAGGCATTGCCCATTTCCTTCATATGACTGTGTTCTGCTGGATTTTGTAATGAAGTGATATACATTTAACAACAGTAACAGCAACAAATTAAACCAGCTATGGTACTGCATCCCCTCCCCTCACCAGAGGACTGCCCACTCCCAGGATCCCAGTGAATGTGGAGGGGAACAGCAGTTGGGGCTCCTGTTAGGATCTGGGACACAAGCAGCTGGCACTGGAGGTGGGGCAGCGAGGTAGCTGCCCACTGCTGGACAGGTGAACTCTGTCTCACTTTGTGCCAGGTGACCCAATGTCAGGGGATGACAAGAAGTACACAGAGTCACCCCGAGGAAGAAATGGCATGAGGGGTGACATCAGGGAGATTCTGATCCTGTGGCCTTTTGGAAGCAGCCTGGGAAAACCACCACACGGTAACACAATTTTCTTTTTTGTTCATTTCTTTACCATTTGAGATTAATTTCTTTGCTGTTTGAATATCTATGGCTTCCAATGTTGCTTTTATAATTTTAAAAAATGTACAAATTATTAAAAGTCTGCAAGAAATAAGCTGACCTGTAAAAGGGTCTTAACCTTGTTCCCAAACCACTGTTCAAAGGGATTTTGTGATATTAACTCTAACGTCTGTACAGCATTCACAGTTCCAACACAACCCTTGCACATCCAGCTGAGGACTTCTGTGCAGCCCAGAACTGAGCATAAAGAATGCTGTGTGGTTTAAATGTCCTCCTCGACCACCCCCATCCCCCCACCCCCTCACCAGCATATACGTAAGGTCTTTCAACTTAAAGAAATAAGAGACTGTAGGACATCGTCCAGTCAAATGCTGCCCAGTGTGTGCGCAGATCATCTGCTCGGGATGCTCAGGGTCCTTTCTGAGAAGCTACTGTGGCAGTTACATGACTCTTGGTCATAGGCAACTTGTCCTCCAGGCATGAACAGCCTCCAGCCTCAGCTCACCCCTCCAGACCTACACTCCATGCTCCATACCCTACTCAGGGAGGGAAGAGACTGCTGGCTTTGTGTATCAGGGAGTAATTTTCTTTGAAGCAGAGAGTTAAACTGTCCCATCAAAATGATCCCACATCAAAATCACCACCTCAAAGTGGCCGTTGTCAAGAGGCTTTCTCAAAGTCCCGCTTGAAAAAGTCACGTGCCTGGAAAACTATCAGCGATTTCAAAGACTGAAACCCCTTCTGTCTCAAGCTGGTTGCCCAGATAACACCCTTCTTGTGAGGATTTAAAAATACCTGAGCCATGGCTTCTGGAATCCTGGGTGTATGTGGCAGAAAGGCAGAGAGCTATTCCTGCTACAGAGATTTCTTAAAAGGTTTAATTCCAAGGCTACTTATCCAGTGAGTGGGGAACCTAGAAACCAAATCCATAGGCCCCAATATGGAGAGACTAGTGCTTTCATCACTGTGACACCACCAAGGCCTTTGGCCCAAACCCAGAGGTCCCACTGTGGTCATGCTCAGCACATCTGCACTTGGATACACCGTGTGACTCGCACACACCCTTTCCCTGGGGTCTCTGGGCAGCGTGAGAGCCGTGCCTATCTGACCACTTGGATCTGCACAGTGAGAACTGGTACATAGGAGGCAGGGGCCTCCCAACCAAGGCTGGGTCCACCGTGAGGTTTTACTGCAGCATGGCGCGATCACTCAACCAACACTGCATGCACGTGGTCTGCAGGCGTGTTCCCGCTACACTGCAGAGCTGAGTCCTTATGACAGAGACTGCGTGGCCCACACAGCCTGAAATATTTACCATTTACAAACTTTCCAGTAAGTGTGCTGAGGCCTGATCTAGCCCAGAGATGACTGATTATCAGAAAAATTGCAGAAAACAGCAAACGGCTGCTCATAATAATCCTTGGGCAACAATCGCCTTTGGGGGTCCCAAACGTGGAGGCCCCGGGAAGTCCGTGTGCTTTCACTCAGCATCCTTCAGTGAGTGGACGCCGAACGCACACTCAGCCTGCCGCTGCGGACAAACGCTGATGACGGCACACACTTACGGAAAAAGCAAAGCCTGGATGACACAGTCGGGGCACGCTGACCAACTGCCCCCATCACATGGCTAGGCACGAGGCTCCTGAAGGAGGGAGGAAGGAAGAAAGGAAAGAAGGAAAAGAGACGGACAGCTCTATCCTGACTCCACTTCCCCCGTCAACTACTGCCCATTTTTCTCTTTTGCTCTGCTCCTGTTCTCCTATGAAGCTATTCCAGGCAGGTTTGCCCAAAGCCATCCACCACAGCTGCTCTTGTCAAGGTCAATGTGACCTCTATGTTTCGCCCTTGGGCCCGTCTCTTCTCTATATAAACTGGCTCCCCAGGTTATCTCACCCAGTTTTGTGGCTTTAAATGTCACTTGTAGCATAGAAACTCCCAAGCTTGCTCTCCAGACAAGGCATCCCAGTTGACTCCTTGATCCTGCCTCTGGATCCCCAAATGAACTCTTGATCCCATCCCATCCCACCCCACATCACTTAATCTTAGCCCAGATAACTACTCTTCTGCTTGTTCAGGAAAAATTACAGACAACTACAACCTTCTGCTTGCTTGAGCCAAAACCCTTCTGGCTCCTTTGATTACTACCCCCTCCCCCCCCAGTCTCTCCCTGACACTTCTCACCTCTTTCAGGGCTCTGCTTAAAAGTCATCTGCTCATGGATGCCTTCCCTGACCTCTCATCCAAAATCTCCCAACCCTCCCAACAGTTCCAATGCCTCCTCCCCAGTCTATCCTTTCTCATTAGCACTTGTCACATGGCTTCGCATAGCTGGTGCACCGCTCGTCTCCCCGCCACAAAAGCAAGTGACAGGAGGGCAGAAATGTCTGGCTGGCTTTGTTCCTGCTGTATCCCCAGAGTCGGTAACAGAGCCTGCACCAGGTTGCGCTTGGCAGACATTTGTTGATGGACAGACGGACAGATGGAGACACACATGGACAAATAGATAACAGTGTACCCTGAAGATGGATTCAATTGTAGTCCTTGGGCATCTCTGAAACTCTGGCACACATTCCTCCCGTATGACAGTATGGAAAGAAGCCACCTTCTTTCCCCAAAGGGACAATGAACAATGTCATGTGGCTATATTCCTCCCTTTCATTTAGACTGTGGTTTTGTGTAGTTACTGTCCCAGAAGATCCAGTTCTATAAATGTGGGCAGACAGGTGGGGCAGAGCAGGCCATGCTTTGTATCTATGTCCTCAAAGGCCCACAGTAGATTCTGACACACAGTTGGTGAGTAAATATTTCTCAAATCAATGAACAAATGTGGGTTTAAGGAAAGGAGGCAACCTGAGGACTCATGACACACAAATCACTGGCTGAAATTGTCCACAACCCAGAGTGTGACGGACTAAATCCTTTGCCTGCAGAGGTGAGTGCAGGGGTGCTTCCCTCATACCCTCCCCACCTATGCCTGCCCCATCCCATGCTCCCCTGTGCCCCTGAGTGCCCACCCCCACCTGGGTTCCCCTATGTCCCCCACTCTTCCCATGTCTGCTCCCTGCCACCTGTGCTCCGGTGTGAAAGGCACGTCCTCCTCATCCAGATCCAAGGAATCAAGATCAGGACGGTCCCGCACAAGCAGCTTCTCCCGCTCCTGCTCCAGGGTCTGCTCCCTGCAGGGAAACGAGAGCCAACAACAGGGGTCAGTGCTGTGCCTGCAGGGTCATCCAACCCTGTCACTGGGCTGCAGGGACCCCAAGAACATGGTGAGGCCTAGAAGGGAGGGACCAGGCAGCCACACTGCCTGCTTCAAAAACTTCTATCTTCAGGGGGAGGAGCTGCACTGCATTGACTGTGTCATCTCTGAACGTGTACAGATGAGCAGGCAGGCTGGAAAGAAGACGGTTTTCGCCCTGACCAGTGTGGCTCAGGTGGTTGAGTGTCGTCCTGTACACTGAAAGGTCATAGGTTCGACTCCCCATCAGGGCACATACTCAGGTTGTGGGTTTGATTTCCAGTCGGGGCACAGGCAGGAGGCAACCAGTCGATGTTTCTCTCTCCCCTCTCCCTTCCTCTCTCTCTAAAATCAATAAAAGCATGTCCTCGGGTGAGGGTTAAAAAGAAAATTATAAAAAGGAAAAAAGGACATGTTTCACCACACACTTCACATGTGCTTTTATAAATGTACCTGTTTTGGCATTTGCTCCCTCTGAGCTTGCCACAGCCTATACCCAGCCCTTTTGCTCCCCCTACCCCCAGCCCAGCCACACTGACCAGGAGAAGCCCCATGCTCATAGCTGCCACCTCACCTCCTCAAAGGGCAGCTCAGATCCTGCTCAGCCCTCACAATCCCCACCCTGTGCCGCAGCCCAGAGGCCTGGAGCCCACGTTTCTCCCACCAGCCCCTGAGAGCTTTACTTCCCCTTTCAACTGCCCCCCCCTGCCACAGGCCCTGCTGCCAACCATTATCTTGCCTGAGCCCCTATTCCCTCACCAGCTCCAGCCTTCTCTGTCCTTGTCCCTAGGGCTACTGAGGGAGCCCTGACTTCCCAGCCCTTGTCCTGCCTCCACTTTTCCCCCAGTGCTTGCCCTGGCTCTGCCCGCAGGTCCTCAGTTCTGATACTTTTACCTCCAGCTTGGGCCTGTCTTGAGTGCAGATTCTCCTAGCCAGCCACTAACTGGATGATGTCGGGGGGGTGCTCAGGCACCTCGGACACCATAGGTCTGGTTCTGAATCACTCCTGCTCACACAGGTGCCCCATCTCATCACCAGTCACCCTACTTCCTCTCACCCTTCCCATCCATTCTCCATAGTGCGTCCCGGGTGCTCTTTCTCAAACACACAGGAAACCCTATCACTACCTGCTTAAATTTCCCTGAGGACCAGCTTGTGTTCATGAGGCCTCTCGTGATCCAGCTGCTGTACACATCGCAGCTGCATCTCCACTCTGGCACCAAGAATCCCAGTCCTGGCCAGCCAGCAGCAGCACGGCCTATCCTTCTCACCTTTGTACGTGTGGTCACCTCTGCCACCCTCCCAAATCCTCTAATCCTCTGAGGTTCAAGGACAAGGACACCTCTGGGTTAAGTTAGGGGCCACTATTCCAGATCCCTCCACAGCAACTTTATGAATCTAGCGTTTCCTGTGTCATGATGTTAATCTCCAGGTGCGCAGGGGCTGCACTGTCATCTCGGTATGTCCAGCACCTGGTCAGGGCCCAGTGCAGAGCGAGAACCTCCCAGTGCTAAAGAGCTGCTATCTCCCTAAGGGACTTCCACTTTTGCTCTGAAGTCACTTCGGCCTTTAGAAACTAACTTCTGTGTGAGATGAGGCTCACTGCAGTGCACGAGAGACAGCACACGTGAACTAGATGAAATGCTCTGGGGAAGTGAGCAAAGCTCGCGTCATGTGGCGCAAACCAGGGCAGCAGAAAGCGGTGCCTTGCTGCGGAGGCCAGAGGCAGGCTGTATGCCCGTCAGAACCAGCACCTTCTCTACTTCTAACACAACACCTGAAAGGGAGCTAAGACCAACTCCCCCGCTTCTCCAAACTGGCAGGAATTGGGCAGGAGAGTCAAGACGGAGGAGCCGGGACAAGGGTTCTGTGCGTGGCAGAGGTCTGGGGCTCTCTGTTTGGCCAGGCCCCCCTTTGACCTGGCTGCTGTTCCCCATTCTCATTATTAATCTGAGCACACAGGGCGCTCCGGGGGCACACCGTGGGGGGAGGCAGGCTGCTTTAGCCTGAGAAACATTTGATATGAGTCAGAGGACGACCCTGGGAAGTTACTGCCAACCCCACAGGAGTGAAGAGCCCTGACGGACCTTTTCTTGCACTCACCTCTTCCCCTGCAGTAAGTAATCCACGCTGCTGACAGAGCTTTCTGAGCCCTCAGGGGTGAGCTGGAGAACAGGACAGGGAAAGGCGGAGAAAGACAAAGACAAAGCAAAGGGGAAATGGAGTAAAATTTAATCTAAATGAAGCCCTTTACCTTGTTTACTTTTCTGACTAGGCAATCCATTCACATGACTAAAAAATAAAAAAGCATGGAGGCACACAGGAAAAACAAGCCCCCCGCCCCCCC